AACAACAACAGAAAGACACAGGGTGAGAGACACATTGAATATGGATAGACGGGATACAAACCCAAACACATAGTATTGGGGAGGGACCCAGAGAGGCACAAAACACCAGAGGGAATAAAGGCCCCGGGGCAGCACAGGAGAAATGACAGGGGGGACCCATGAAGCAGGCAGACTCGGGCAGCAAGCAGTACAGGCAAGGGGAGCCTGGGAGAGCAGACGCCGCCGCCGAGATCTCAGAACGATGAATGAGAGGGCTGTTAGCGGTTTTCTATGGAAGCAGATGCCCAGGCAGGAAATGCTGAGGCTAAACAGAGTAGGAGAACCTTCATCCACCCTCCCTAGCACATGGGCTCGCAAATACCCTGCAGGGTCAGGGGCTCCAGGAGAGCTAGGTTCGAGCTGGGCAGGGTTTGATGTGGGGTTGTCCGAGCCTCCGTAACACCACTGTTACTGGGCAACCACAAGCTAGGGCTGGCTCCTCAGCTCAGGCCTTCTCCATCCAGGGCTGAAAACAGCCCTCCACGGCAAAGGGGGCCCCCAGAATTGCTTCCCCCAACTCAGACAAGACAGCTTTGTTCCGGAGGCGTTTGGCCTGGATGCCCCGGTGTTCGGTTTAGAGCCTCCCAGCTGCACCCTGGAGCCTCCATCCCCAGGGTCTGGGAAGCTCTCCACTCCCGCGTTTCGCTCCTTTAGCAATAATAAAACTGTCAGCTGGTTGGCTTCTCCGACTCCATCCCAAATCAACATTCCCCCTTGGTCCACCATCCTCTCCATCCCCAACTCCTCTCCGGGCCTGCAGTGACTCCCCTACCTTCTTCGCCTAGGCAGAGCCCCAGAGGCTGGAAGCAGAGTCCTGGTCCTGGAGATTAGTTTTAGGACTTCCAAAAAAAAAAAAAAAAGTTCGGCCAGGGGAGACCGGACCCCCCCTTCCTCCCCCCTCTTCCTCGGTCCCTCCCACGTCCCCTAGAGCCCTCCCACATTCCGCTTTCTCCCTCCATTCCAGCCAGGCCAGTTCCCTCCTCTAGATCTTCCCCTCCCCCGTGGAGCTGGCTGCAGCCGTCCCCCTATGCCCCCCCCCCGCCCCCATCCTGGCTCAATGAAGCTTTCTTTTCCCCGCAGGTTGGAGGCCAGGCAGCCGCGGTCAGGATGCTGGACTTGCAAACGGTCTCGGGATCGGCCCCTGTAGCTGCGGGAAACTTTCCAGCCCCCCAGCCGTTCCTCCACAACCCCAGCTAGGCAGAGTATTAACAGTCCAGTTCAACTCCAGGGCTGGGCCATGGGAGCAGGTCCCGCAAGGGGAACTCATGTCCCGTCCCGAGGGCCCCCTTGGTCGCTATGGTGCTCCCGGGGTGCCTGCGGATGATGTCACGGCCTTCACTCCGATGTCACGTTAAGCATATGACGTCACTCTCAGCCCCCACCTCCCAGGCACCAGAGCCCTCTGGTTGTCAATCACGGCTTCCCTGAATGGCGCCACTGTGCAAAGGTAGGCTAAAGGCCCCAGTCCGCGTGTCTGGGGACCCTGACTTCTTCCTGCTGGCTCCTCTTCCTCCATTTCCCCCATCATCGCCGCAGGGGCCGGGAGGGGCGGGCACGCCTCTGGCACCCTGCAGCCCCGCCCCGCCCCGCCCCCTGCCCCTGGGGCCAGGAAGCGCGGAAGGAACCGCCCGGACCATGGAAGGGGCTGTGATGGAGGGTCCGCTCTTTCTGCAGAGTCAGCGCTTTGGGACCAAGGTAGTGTGTGTGTGTGTGTGTGTGTCTGTGTGTGCCGTGGGGGATGGCGAAACCCCTCTGGACTAGAAGTAGGTGAAAGTATCCAGAAAGAGGAGAGGGGGCCGGAAGCAGGTCGAAACGCCGCGCGGGCAACTAACTGTAGAGCCCCTGGAAGCCCCAGGCGTACCCTCCTTGGTGCGGAGTTGGGATGGCATTATCTTTGGGAAAGCGTCCCTGCCTGGGAAGCCCCAGACTCAGATCGGCCTGCGTGGGTCTCTCTTTCCCCGTGGGGCGCGTGCTGCCCCGCACTCCCGCGTCTTTCGTCTTTTCCCCAGAGGTGGAGGAAAACCTGGGCTGTGCTCTACCCAGCTAGTCCCCACGGCGTAGCGCGGCTGGAGTTCTTTGACCACAAGGGGTCGAGCACTGGAGGGGGTCGAGGCGGCTCTCGCCGTCTGGACTGCAAGATGATCCGCCTGGCTGAGTGTGTGAGCGTGGCCCCTGTGTCTGTGGAGAGTCCCCCTGAGCCCGGCGCCACTGCCTTCCGCCTGGACACCGCGCAGCGCTCACACTTGCTGGCGGCGGACGCCCCGTCCAGCGTCGCCTGGGTGCAGACTTTATGCAGAAATGCCTTTCCGGTGAGGGGATGGGGGTGAGCGGCCCTGGGCCTAAGGGACACTGCGAGAATGGGGGCTATTCCCGCGGCACTGAACCTCCTGCACCCACTCCGGACCTAAGGGAATTAATTATATATTCCTCGATGTTCCTTTTCTCCGCAGAAAGGCGGCTGGGCTTTGGCGCAGACGGAGAGCCCGCCTAAGTTTTCTGCCCTGGAGATGCTGGAGAATTCGCTGTACAGCCCCACCTGGGAAGGTAGACGCTTGGCATGAATGGAGTCGGGAGATGTGCTGTCGTGGAGCTAGTGATTGGAGTCCGCCGAGCCCCTAAGCTGCCCCAGCGCTCCTTCCCCTTTCTATGTGTTCCTTTCAGGCTCCCAGTTCTGGGTAACCACGCAGAGGACCGAGGCTTCTGAACGCTGCGGCCTGCAAGGCTCCTACATACTGAGGGTGGAGGCTGAGAAGCTGACCCTCCTGACTTTGGGAGCCCAGGGTCAAATCCTGGAGCCGCTCCTTTTCTGGCCCTACACTCTGTTGCGACGCTATGGCCGGGACAAGGTGCAGGGGCTGCCTGGGAGGGTGACTGTCAGGGAGGGTGTAGGATGGGGGTGGGTGTGTAGATGACCCATTCCGCTCCCAGGTGGTCTCTTCTCTGCAGACACACTAACGTGGTCAGACCTGTGACTCATCTCCTATGACATCTCTAACGGGTTTCCCTCCACACCCTCAGGTAATGTTCTCCTTTGAAGCGGGTCGCCGCTGCCCCTCTGGCCCTGGAACCTTCACCTTCCAGACCGCACAGGGAAATGACATCTTCCAGGCAGTTGAGGCTGCCATCCAGAAGCAGAAAGCCCAAGGAAAGGCGGGACAGGGACAAGACATCCTCAGGACTGACTCCCACGAAGGGGAGGCAGAGGGAAAGGTAGCTTCCCCTCCCGTGCCTCAGGACCCCCCCGGGAGCCCCCCAGCCCTATATGCTGAGCCTTTAGATTCCCTGCGAATTCTCCCAGGCCCTTCTCAGGACTCCCTATACTCAGACCCCCTGGGCAGCGCCCCTGCTAGGGCAGGGGAGGGGGTGCATTCGAAGAAACCCCTCTACTGGGACTTGTATGGGCACGTGCAGCAGCAGTTGCTGAAGACCAAGCTGACAGACTCCAAGGAGGACCCCATCTATGATGAACCTGAGGGCCTGGCCCCGGCCCCTCCCCGGGGCCTTTATGATCTGCCTCAGGAGCCTAAGGATGCGTGGTGGTGCCAGGCTCGGGCCAAGGAGGAGGGCTATGAGCTCCCCTACAACCCCGCTACAGATGACTATGCCGTGCCGCCTCCTCGGGGCTCGAAGCCTGTCCCTGCCCCCAAGCCGCAGGGCTTGGCCCTTTCTGACCCGGGTACCACGGGCGGCGGCGGCGGCGGCGGCGGCGGCGGCAAAGGTCACAGCTCAGACACAGCTCTGTACAGCCAGGTCCAGAAGAGCGGGACCCCGGGGGCTTGGGACTGTGGGCTTCCTGGTGTAGGGAGTAAGGGGGCGGGGGTCAAGTCGGAGGGCTCCACCTGAGACAGCTGCTGACCGGAGCTTCATGGAGAGGGGGCACTGGACCTCAAACCTGTTCTAGCCAGCAGGAACCGGAGGGTGGGAGGGGCCTGTGTTGAGACTAGGGGACCAGAGGGAAGACGGGGCCCCAGGAAGTCAGAGGAAGTAGAACCAAAGGATAAGGCTGAGAGATAGCTCTGTGAGGCGGCAGCGCTAAGGAATGGATGGTTCCGGGACTAGGCCTATGGAAGGGGTCTGCTGGTCAGAGTGGGCGCACTTTGGGGAGGCCAGTGTGGACCCTTGGTCTTGTATTGTTCTTTGGCAGATGTACTTTTAATTTATAAAATAAATCTCATTAAAGCCAGTTTGGGTTGAAAAAGTCTCTCTGTGTGTGTGTGAGTAGACACAGTGGCAGTATGTGCTGGAGGGGTGTGTGGACAGATCAAGAGAAGAACCAGAAACATGCTGGGGACCAGGGAAGGAGGAAAGGGTCCCAGGGAAGGAAGTCTACCTGTGGTGGCTCAGGGCCTGGGTGGCCGGGGGCCCACCTGGGCTGGTTGGTCTCTAGCTCTGTGACCCCGGGTCAGGTATCTGCTGTCCGCAGTCCTTAACTTTCCCCCACTGTCCTTCCACCAAGGGTGAGAATTTGGCTCGGCTTCCGAAGGTCGCTCGCCCTGAAGTGGATACGTTCCCCAAGCACTAGTGTTGTCTAAGGCATGGGAAGGTGCTTTCTAAATGGCAGCTATTTTTTCTGTAGTTGAGGCGGTGTGGGGAGAGGAGATGAGGTGGGGAGTCTTTCACAGTGCCCACTCCCCTCTGCTGGGCGGCACAACAGCACCCTGCCCCTTACACACACACACACACACACACACACACACACACACACACACACACACGCACACACACACACGATTGCTCACAGGGGTCTGAAGCTGAAGGGACCTGCTGTGGGTGGTTTGGGAAGGGGACTCTTCTGGACCAGGGTTCAGGTTCTAATGTCTTGACTTTTCTGGAGCTGTGAAAACCTCGTCGTAATTCTTGAGTTGCAGTTTCCCAAGGGTGACCGGACCTCGTCCACCTTCTTACACAGAGCTGCAGGAAGAAATTCTGGCCTAGGAATGCTCCGAACAATGGTAGAGGCTTACTGGGCATTTAATTATTTGTGTCAACACTATCAGATGATCCAAATGAGAAAGAAAATCCCTGCTGCACAAAAGACAGGCCTGGGTGTGTTGCTTTCAGCCCTGGGTTGGGCAAGGGCAGCCCTGAGGACCGAGGTGGGAGAGCCTGGGCTCACCAGGCACAGGTTGAGAGCAGGTAGATCTGCCCTCAGGCAGCCATCCTGTGTGGAATGGCTGTATCCTGGCGCTGGGGACTTAGGTCTAAGAAAGATACTCTTCCTCTGAATCAGAGGGCAGGAAGGTTCCTGAGGAAGCTTTGCTGGCTGCTGACGTCTTGGGAGCTCTAGCTGGGGCTGGAGCCATGGGCAGGGGGACCACTGTGGCTCGGACTCTGTTGGTCTGCAACTGTCCAGCCTGCAAAGAACAACCAGAGTCTTCTGTGAAGACCAGACAGTTCCCAAGTTCCTGTCACTGCTCCCTGCTGGACCCTGGAGTCCCCAGGCTGCAACCTCCGCGGCATCATCTCCATGCCCAGAGTCCCTTCTCTGTCAGCCTGCCTACCAAGCCCTCACGGTGGGCTGCTCCGATGCATCTGGCCATTGCTTCTTCCGGAGTTTAGAAACATCCTTCAGCGATTTTAGCTGAGACAAAAATGGGGACTTTTCCAAATGCTCAGTGACAGAGAAACCAGGAAAGTCCTCTGAGCAAAAGGAAACCTTAACACAATAGACCCCGGGCCTCCTAGAAACACTTCAGTTTCCCTTCTGATCTCTCCTGCCCTTCTTTTCGGGTCTCACTGTAGCCTAGGATGGCCTCAAATGTCCAGCAATCCTCCTGCCTCAGCTTCCTGAGCGCTGGGATTACGGGTGTGAGCCACCATGCTTGGCTTCTGGTTTCGAGCCTTTTCTCGGGAGCCCCATTCTGAGGTAGGCGTCCAGGTCTGGCTCCTCACCTGTCCTCTGTGACGCTCCCCTTGCTGGTGCTGTGAAGAGTGAGTGAGCTCTTGTTAGAAAGCCTGGCCCTCGCTAGAAGCCTTCCTTTCCCTTCCCTTAGGCAGTTCTAGTCCCGCCTCCCTGTCGGCCCTTTTTTTCTTTCCAAAGAGAGGGCTGTGGTTGCAGTTCCAGTGTGGCCTGTTTGCTTAACAAGACAGCCAGCAGATAACATCCCAGTTAGACTACCTAAGCCACAGGTGTGATGGCATGAGCCATATCACCTCCCCCCACCCTCCCTCCCCACCCCAGGGAGGCTGAGGCGGGCCAATGGCAAGCTCAAGATCACTCTGGGCTGTACTGCTACCTCGAGAGCCCAGTCTCGAGAAAACAAAACAGACCCCAGACCAACCGACACCGCCCCCTGTCCCCTCCCCCTCCCTCAGCTACTGTCTGCTGTGGCCTCAGCAGGTTCTCTCTCCTTCTTCAGCTTGGTTTCCCCCTCCACCCGTGGGGGTGTGGAGCCGGCCACTCTCTTTGTCCTGGTGCTCTTGCGGGGTGGGGATGAAGGGCTCCCTTGGGCACAAAGGGGATGGGGACAGAGGGAAGGACGGGACGGACGGAGGAGGGAGAGGTACCTTTCTAAGGCCCCGGCTCTCCCAGCTTGTGCCGAGGCGCCCCTGAGGCTTGGCATAGGTGCTCCTCAGATGTGCGTACAGGTGGCTCTCTACTTGCAGGGGGTTGTAGGTGGGCCCCAGCTCCAGGCTGTCTAGTGTGCTCTGAGGAGGAGGAGGAGGAGG